TCACCGTAGTTAATTTTCTTGTCATTGTTTTTTTTTATTTTTTTAAATGTTTTTGAAATAAATTATTATTATCATCGATATCCTTATGTGGGAGGAGACAGTAAAAACAAAAAGAAGGAGGGGAGACGCCATTAGACGTATTTCTTTTTTTATCATTATTATTAATTAAAAAATACCCCTTCAAAAAAAAAAATTTTAACTACAAGAAAACAAAAACTCACTTTTGTTTTAAAATATTTTTGGGATTTTTATGTTGGTGGGGGTGGGGGTGGTGGTGGTGCGGTGGTGATGACCCTTCCATCAAACAAACTTTTCACATTTTTTGTCTCGTTTAATAATTTTTTTTAATACACACACACACACACACACAAATCGATAATAATTTGGAAAAGCCGTGTGCGTGTATTTTTTTGAAAAAAAATATCGGATCAAAGAGAGAGAGAGAGACAGAGAGAGAGAGAGAGAGAGAAAGAGAAAGTGAAAAGGAAGGTGTAGAAAAGGAAAGTGAAGGAAAGAGAAAAAGGAGAGAGAGAGAGAGAGAGTGAGTGAGTTGCTCTGTGGGTAAAATCGAAAGAGAGAGAGGAGTCGGTCGGTAAAAATTGGGTAATATATAGTTATACATATACACATGGAGAAAAACGAAAAAGATCCGAATGAGTGAGAGAGAGAGAGAGAGGCTGGGAGATCCGAGGGATAAATTTTCAATGAATACAAAATTTGTGGGAAAAGGAATCGAAGGAAAAATGTTGAAAATATTATTATTCAAAGGAAAATAAAGGTTTCGACAAAGGAAAATGCATTTGATACCGGGATTTTTATTAGTTAACCATTTAAAATCATACGATTTAAATATCATCATCATCATCATCATCATTATTCCCGTTGTACGTCAAACCTTTTCCGATTCCTTATTTAATACGGATCGATGTTATATAACGAAAGGATTTAATTATTCTCTCAAAGATTGGCAAATGATAAAAAGTTATATATTAGGGAAAAAGAGAAAAAGAAAAATGAATACAGAGTGAGAGAGAGAGAGAGAGAGAGTAAGAGGGAGAGAGAGGAAGAAAAAGAAAGAAAAATGAAAATTTATATATATATATATATTTAAAAATATATATTTAAATCCGATTCTTATTAATTTATATTCTTATTAATTAAAGGAATTTATATATGATATTCTTCATATTCACATGTCGAAAACCTGTCATTGGGAAAATGAAAGTGGGAAATGTAAAAAGGAAACGATGGGGAACGGGAAAAAGAAAGTTGTAGAAAAGTTGGGAGAAAAGGTTTGATCGTATGAAAGACATGAATTCAACATTCCAAAAAAAAAAAAAAAAAAGGTTCGATTTCCCTTCCTTTCCTCCTTCGTAAAAAAAAAAAATGATGATGATGATGAATATATGATTTTTTTTTTCAATTTTCGTTTTTCCCTTTTGGCGGCTTATTACAATCGGATAAAAAACAACTGTTTTAAAATTTTCTTCGGGGAGGGGCGGGGATTATAAACGTTTTACGTTACGCATTTCACCGCACCCTCCCTCCCCCCCGAAACAAAAAAAAACGCGCGTTGATTTCGTTTACGTTTTTGACGTTATATTTGTCGTACCGAAGGTGGGAGCATGTGGAAAAGAGGGGAAAAAATCATTGTTACTATTATTATTATTATTATTATTATTATTATTATTATTTATAGTTTACCGGTAACATGATCGAAATTTTCGATGCGATGACAGAACAAAAGGATGATAGAAAAAAAAAAAATTTTTTGTTATGTATTCAAACCGCGTTTTAAAAATATATTCACATCAGCAAATTCATAACAGTGACTATTGTCAACATGTTACTTTTTTTTGTTTTGTATTATTATTATTATTTTTTATTTTCATTCGACGTTATCACGATTCTAATAACGATGAGAACGATTATGACGACTACGACGACGATAATAATGATAATAATTATTATTGTAATTAAAACGACGACGACGACGAGAACGATAATTTTTTAAAACGAAAATAAATTATAGAACGCAATAAAAAAAAAAAAAAAAAAAAATTTGCCTCGCCTTTCTTATTTCGCAATTGATAATCAAGCAATCATTAATGAGAGATAACAAACAAACAAACAAACAAACAAACGACAAAAAAAAGAAAAAAAATTCGTACGAAACGTTCTAGAATAAAAACAAATAATAATAATAATTTGAAATACGTACGTAACACACATAAAATTCGTAAATACGCCGCGTAGGTTATTATTATTTTTTTTTTTTAAATCACGCGTGTTCATAAGATAAACATAAGCGGTATTAAAAAATAAAAAATTTTAATCGATCTCTATTATTTTCAATGAAAATTACGTATTTAAAAAAAAATTTAATTATATAATTAATTATTATAAACAAAGATTTACATTATTATTATTATTAATAATAATAGTTTCGTGAATAAATATTAATAATAATAATAATAATAATAATAATAATAATAATAATAATAATAATAATAATAATAATAATAATAATAAATAAATTTAAATGAAAAACGGTTTGGTAATAGTTGATTGCCGGTGAGTTAACAACAAGTGGTCATTATGTATTATTCTGTTGTTGCATTTTATTAAATGGATCTCTTTTTTTTTCGATGATTATTATATGTTGACCTTTTCGTACGAATTGAATAATAAAATTAAATGAAAAAGTTTTGTCATAAACGTCTGTCTTAATGAAAAGAAGAAGAAAAAAAAATGATTCGTAGCGACAGAAGAATCATTGAAGAGAGAGAGAGAGAAAGGATTTGGTTTTGAATAAAACAACAAGGAAACATTTTATTTAAAAATCAAAGAACGTGCATTGTAATAAAATCAATAAGAAATATCATCATCATCATCATCATCATCATCATCGCAACGATCAACTTTTGCACAAACTGTTTGATTGTCAGTTTTAAAAAAAAAAAAATTTTTTTTCTTCTCAAGTGCGTGCGTGCGTGTGTGTGCGTGTGCGTGTGCGTGTGTGGTAGTCAGTTAAAATAAAAGATATGAAGATTTTTGTGTGTTGTGAGTCACCCTCCCTTATACTAACTGATGAATTCAAAAACTTTCCTTTAACAGTTTCTCTCTTCCTTTCTCTCTCTCTCACTCACTCTTTCCATTACATTTTCTCTCATACCATTCTTGTACAACACTTTTACCCTTTCGTTTATTGTCTTTTCATATATAATCCCCTCATTCTAATTCTAATTCTAAAAAAATATTATTAGCCTTCGTTTGCTTTTATCAATAATCAATAATTATTGTCCAAATCATTCATAACCGCGTAGTATTTCGTTATTGTTGTTTTATTTTCCTTTGTGCTCGTTATCATTTCCTTTGTCTTCTAGTTAATGGTATTTCATTATTATTTAAAAACTATTTAAAAGACATTTTTGATTTTAAAAAAAAGGAAAATTAAAAAAAATAAATAGGAATTTAATCTTTGATAGATGGATTAAATGAAAATCGATCAGAGTTCGTATCAATCCCTCTCTTCATTCATTTTCTCTCTCTCTCTCTCTCTCTCTCTCTCTCTCTCTCTCTCATTTTTTTTCCTTTTCTTATTATTATGCCTTTGTTTGTTGTTTTTTCCATTTTTTTTTTTGCCTGCAAATTTTTCAAAATTAAAAAAAAAAAAAAAAAAAAAAGTCGAGTATCGATGAAGAGTATATTTAACAACAGCAAAATTCGATTATTATTATTATTATTATGCATTTTTTTCTTCTTATTTTTCAACCCCAAAATAAAAATAATTTCTCGATTATTTAACAAGTTTGAACCCTCTGAATCCGAGTGACGTCATTTAAAAGTATACAAGAGATGTAAGATCGTGTTAGATCTATTGATTTTATTTTATTTTGATTGATTAAACCCTCCCCCGCCTTTTCTCCCCCCCCCATCCCTACCTCCCTCGCATTCTGCCAGACTATAAATCAAGTTTTAACTAATGAGATAATCCATTCAAAGCAACGAATGAGAAATTTATTCTCTGGCACATTTGTTTGCAAAGCTTTTTTTTTTTTTTTTTTCCTTCCCTTTTCGTCTGCTGCTTTTCGCCACTTTTTTTTTGTTTTTTCCGGTTAATATTTTTCCTTTTAATAGTCGAAAAGTTTTTCCGAATCGTCGTCATCGTTATTAATAAAAAAAAAAAAAAAAAAAAAATTTTCTTTTATATAAATTCACGAACTCGAAAGAGTAATAATAATAATTTTTTTAAACATTAATTCATTTAAAACTTGTATTATTATTATTATTATTATTACTTCGCATTGCATTGATTGCGTATATCATTTGATATAAAATCTCATTAACAGGTGGAAAGATTTTTGGGGTAATTAGGTAGTAAAATAATCAACAAACAAAGGCATTGTTACTACAATCTTAAATGTGACACCGTATATACGAAATTATTATGCGTTTAATTGCTGCCAGGATACGAAACGAAAATTCACGTGACATCCTCCTCCTCCTCCTCCTCCATTTTTGTAATCTTATGCCATTCGAACGAACCTATTATTATTATTACAGTTTTTTTTTTTTTTTTTGAATTAAAAATTGAAGTTTTATTTTCGTTTGGAAAAGTAATTTTATTCGATAGGCTCTCTCTCCCAATAAATTAAATGATTTACAAAAATAAAAAATAAAATAAAAAATCAAAATTTAAAATCTTTTAAGGGTGGAAATAAATGATGAAAACATTAAAAAAAAAAAATTTAAATATAAATAATATAAAATCGTTTTTCTTAAAAAAAAAGCAAAGGAAATAAATGTAATTATTCTAAAGACTATGATAGAATGCACACAAAATTCATTTTCGATTCTTTTCGGGGAAATTTTCCTCTTTTTTCCTACGGGATATAAAAAAAAAAAAAAAATTAGAAAAAAACCTGTTTCCTACAATGTTTTCATTCATTAAATAATATTTTCTTAGGTTGTCACATAATCGACGAATCATTTTCTTTATGAAACCCATTACGGAATCTAAGAAATTAGTTTTTTATTATATCTGGAAGGCATTTTAGATTTCGATTAACCGTACCACCACCACCACCCCTTCCCTCCCTTTATTGGAAATTTTTCTTTTTTCTTTCCTTTCCTTTCCTTTTTTTTTCTATTTAAATTTGAAAATAAGGGATGGATGGATGGATGGATGGAAGGAAACGTTCGTTCTTTTTTAAGGGGAAAACTTCCCCACCCCCCCGGGGAGATATGTTTAGTTTTAGGTAATCTCTCTGAGCCTCTATACGTTTTTTGTTTTTTACATTTCCTCCCTCATTTCTCGTACTTTATTCGCTTTTCCATTTTTTTAAATATTTGATTTTTTTTAATTTTTAGATCTCACAACTAGTGCAAGACATACAAAGACTGCAGTCTTCCATCAGTAAATTACAAGAAAATTCAGCGACTCAAATAGCTAGACTCGAAGAAGAATTGGAACAAAAAAGACAACACATAGCACATTTAGAAGCGAGATTAGATGCACAAAGAGATTATGATGAAGTTAAAAGAGAACTTAGGTAAAATAATATTTTTTTTGTCAACGAAAGAATAAAGAGAGAGAAAGGGGGGAGAGAGGGGGGGAAAAGGGTTAGAAAAAATTGATTTAGTTAGTAAAAAAAAAAAACCGGTAGGAAGCTATATATCTCCCTTTGAACATTCAAAAGGAAAAAAAAAAAAAATACCGGAGGTTTGAAAAAAAAAAAACCCCCACACACACACACATTTCTCGTTAGTCTTGTGGTGTGGAACACATTTTACGTCACGACAACAAACGACAACAACAACAACAACAATAATCGTTCGATTGTTTTTTTTTTTTTTTTATTCCCTTAATTTAAACATCTTCGAGAATTAAATAAATAAATAAAAAAAAAATTTTAGTTCAATGTTATACGTTTTTTTTTCTTTTCAAAACGAGTAAAAAAGGAATTACGGTTGAATAAATTTACATGGAATACAAGTTTTATACAATATCCGGAATAAAAAAAAAAAAAAAAAAAAAACGAAATCAAGGTTTCGTCGAGTACTAACGTACCTAAAATGATAATAATATTTTTTTTAATGTTCGAACGACGAATAAACCTTGATTATTCATATCGGAACATTACAATTTTTTTTTTTGTGCGTTTTTTAAACAATTTTAACACTTTTTTTTTTCTAATAAATGAAATTATTCTGCTCCCACGATTACGTCAATAATAATAATAATAATTTTTTTATTTATATTCGTTTCGTCTACGATACAAACAAACAATAACGTATGTTTTCAATATAAAAAAAAAAAAAATTTAATTTTTTTTTTTTTTTTTTTTTTACTACTCTTACTTAAAACTTTAATGTGTATATACGACAACATTAATTGCACAAGAAAATTTCGATTTAATTTAAAAAAAAAAAAAAAGTTACTTAATTACTTAGGAACATTATATTCTTGCACCAGAAGACAAATAATTTTTAATTACGTAATTAAGTAGTTTTTACTCACACGGAGCGACATTAATTTTTTTTTTTTTTTTTTAAACTTATTACTATTGTTTTATTAATATTATTATTATTATTATTAATTATTATTATTATTATTATTACTAATGTTTTTTTTTTACGCGTGAAATTTGCAATTAAGACTCACGGTTTTTGATTTTTCCTTTTTTTTTCGCTTCCCATAAAAATTCGTTTTGCAAATTATTATTATTATTATTAATATTCGCGATTTCGATATATCGAAATATTGTATAAATATTACTAATAATAATAATAATAATAATAAATGAAAATTATTTTAATGGAGATTAGTTTTTTTTTTTTTTTTTTAAATCATGCGAGAGATTAATTAAACTTAATTACTAGAACGATAAATGCAGGATGCGGTCCTGCGCATTGACGAAGTTTTTGAAATAAATTCATGACTTTTGAATAATGATAATAATAATAATAATAGAAGAATAATAATAAGAAGAGGAAAAGAAAAAAAAAATTTTTTTTTTTTTTTTTTTGTTATTGTCTGATGTTTCCCAAGTTAATTCTTTCAATTTATCACAATTTACAAGATTCTTATTAAGAATAAGAAGAAGAAGAAGAAAAATGATGAAATTGGAATTGTTTGAGGGGGAGGGGGAAAAATGGCGGGTAGGTGAAGGAGGAAGAGAAAAAAAAAGAAAAAAATTCATTAGCAACAATAAACAATTCTGGGTAAATTTCATTTTGAGAAACGATAATAATAATAATAATAAAAAGAAAACGTAACCGATTAAATTTTTTTTTACGTTCACGAATATCATTTATACGGATTATTATTATATTCAGGTGGGAGGGGATATAATGTAGAGAGGGAAGAGAGGGGGATTGTCGTGTTAATAGTATCGATAGATTTTGTAGGGAAATCTCTGGATTTATCATAAAAAAGATTTGAAAAATAAAAATAATAATAATAAGACTTTTCGTTGTTAATAATTATTAAAATTTAATTAAATTCAATTCGAGAGTGAAAGGTTATAACTAAAATTGTTATTAATTAGAAAAAAAAATTAAGTTAATGAATCATTTTCTGCTATTATTATTATTATTATTATTATTATTATTATTACGTGTGTTTAAAATGGCGGCCTTAATAATTATCGCCGCCGCCGTCACCACCGAGTTTTGAATTTTCCGTTTTGAAAATTATTCTAATGTTATTTCGGTAAAAAAAAACAAAATTAGTGTACTTATTTAATTACGTCACAAGTCGATAATTACCCGCCTGTTTATTATAATTATTATTATTATTACTACCATATACTACACAATTTGTGGTAAGCATAATAACCACGTGGTAATTGTTGTAAGAAAAACTTTACCGTTTATATTGTTTAAAAAAAAAAAATTGTAATAGGTTTTGATAATTTAATAATAATAATAATTTTTTTTTTTTTTTTTTTCAGTTTGCTTAGATCAATTGAAGTACCTTCGAACGAGTCCGGTGAACCGAAAACGTTAAAAATGTTAATTGTTGAGCGATCCAAAGCGATACATTTGGAACAGCAACAACAACAACAACAACAGCAGCAACAACAGCAAAAATCAATCGCTCCGGTTTTACCACCGCCTAAAATAAAATCGCCCGAACCGCAAAAACTCGAAGAAATACCAATAAAAACGGAACCCGTGTCGGCGGAATCGGAAAGTCGTGCCGAAAGTCCAAACATTCAACAACAGCAAGATGAACCGGAAACGACGGAAGAAGTGGAAAAGGAAGAAGTCGAAGACGATGCGAATCATTCGTCTCCGAGGAGTCAACAAAGCGCACAACAACCCGTGTCACCGAACATGCAAAATCAACTCCATTCTTCGACTCCATCGCTTCAATCTCCGTCACTGAGGACTCCGACCCCTCACGATAGTTACCTTAATGGAAAACTCCCGGACGATTGCCACAACAACAATCACCTAACTCAAATAATGAACAATCAAAACATGTTAACCAACGGTTTAAATTTAAATTCTCTAAATAACAATATAATTAATTTGAATCATCATAACTTTTTAAGAAATAGTGATATGTGCATGGATATGAAAAGTCCGTTCCGGTTCGACGAACACAGGTATAGATTCGGGGACGATAACGTCATGGTGGGAAGGCTCGGTGAGAGTTTAATACCGAAGGGCGATCCGATGGAGGCGAGACTCCAAGAAATGTTGAGATACAACATGGACAAATATTCAACGCAAAATCTCGACACGTTACACATTGCGAGAAGAGTTCGCGAACTCTTATCGATACACAACATCGGTCAAAGGTTGTTCGCGAAATACGTGTTAGGTTTAAGTCAAGGCACGGTATCCGAACTGTTAAGCAAGCCAAAGCCTTGGGATAAATTGACTGAAAAAGGAAGGGATAGCTATAGGAAAATGCATGCGTGGGCATGCGACGAAAATGCAGTATTATTGTTAAAAAGTTTGATACCAAAGAAAGGTGAGTTTGACGCCATTTTTTTCCCTTTTTTTTTTAATATTTATTTTTAATCGTTTAACGAAAGCCATTATAAAATCGTCGTTTTCGTTAAAATATTTTATCAGATTTTTGGGAATGCACACCGCACCCGCCCCCGACCCTCACACACCCCGCCCCCCCGCCCACGAAATTATAATTAAAATAATAATTTGAAATTTGGGTTGTTTTTGTAAATACGGTTGACAGTTTCTCTTGATTTATTTAAAATTTCGAGTTTTTATTATTATTATTATTATTATTTTCCTTAATTTTATTTTATTAATAAAATTTATTCTCATTGATCAGAAATCAATTAGTTTTTGTTTGTAGTTGTTTGTTTTGTGTGTGTGTTTTTGTGTTTGTTGTTCGATTGTTTTATAAAATAATTTATTTACTTAATTTTGTCGGTGACAATTAAATTTCCGATCGGTTATAATAATAATATTAATTAATTAATTAATTAATTATAAAACTATTGAATTGATTTTGTCGTTTTGTGTCGAATAAAAAACAAATTTTTTTTTTTTTTTGGGGGAGGGAGAGGAAAAGTATGACGATGAACCTTTTCGAAAGGTTTTCACTTAAGAGAGAAAGAGAAGGGGAAAGGGAGGGGAGGGGGGGAAAGAAGCGGAACAAAAAAAAAATTATTGATTATGTTTATCCTTTTGTGTCGGTTTAAACTATTTGTTTGCGGTAAAAAAATTTTTTTTTTTTTTTTTAACGTAAAAAAGAATTTTTTGTTTATTTCATTTGTTTAAAAAAAAAGTTAACTTTCTGAACATTCAGAGAGAGAGAGAGAATATTTTAAAAAATTAAATCAAACAAAACCCCCAAAAAAAAAAAAAAGTAAAAAAGTAAAAAAAAAAAAAAAAAATCGGTGGAGACAAAAAAGGTTTATTTTTCCATTTATTTCCGTTTTGCCATCTCTTTTGTTTTTTTTTTTTTTGCCTCTTCTTTGTAAAATATAGAATATATAATTTTTTTTTTTTTTTTGATTTAAAAAAATAATAATAATAATAATAAAACAACAGCAAATAACAATTGAGTGGAAATTATCAAAAAAAAAAAAAGAGAAAAAAAGGTTTTCGGATGAACGAAAAAGGCACAAAAAGGAAACATTCCTTTTTTTTTTTCAAAGGTTTTGATTTTTATCATTTGGCAAAAAAAAAAAAATCTAAAAAGAGTTATTTTACCCTTTGACCCCTGTCCTCATCCTTTCTGTCTTTTACTCTCTCTCCCTTTCTCTCCCTCTTTCACTTTCTCCCGGTTTTTTTTATATTCAGACTCCATGAATCCTTCATTCGCCCATTTCTCTCTCTCTCTCACTCTCTCTTTCCTTTCTATTTATCATCTTTTTCTTTATTTCATTATTTCTGATATTAACCAAACAAAAGAACAAAAGCCATCACCGGAATCCAATGGTAAAATCATCTGGAACCGATGGAAGGCTCGGTATTGTAATTCATAAAAATTTATACATGCATACTTTTTTATTTAACTTTCGCGGTCGTTTATCGATTTTTTTTCTTTTTGCGTATTATATTGATTTTTTTTTTTTTTAACCAAAAAGTTATTTAAAATTATTTTTAAATGCGTCACACGCACTCACACGCACATTCACGCAGTATATTTAAAATTTTTTTGAAATAAACTCTCAAACCGCACGTCATAATAATTATTTTTAACTTTTCTGCTTTTGCTCCTGGAAAATTAAAGAATGACGTAACGATTGTTATTTTTAAATTAATTTAACTTCCTTATTTATTATTATTATTGTTTAACGTTACGACAATAATGTTTTTAAATTTATGGAAATTGACGTTAAATAATTTTTTTTTTTTGGTTCAATTGAATACTCTCCATAATACATTTTATTTATTTAAAAAAAAAAAAAAAGTCGTTATATTAATTAAAACCAATAATGATAAATATTTCTTGGTTTGCCCCCCCCCTTCCCCCCTCTCTCTCTTTCTCTTTACATCTCTCCCAATTTTTATTATGTTTCATACAAAGAGTCTGTTGTTGTTGTTGTTTGTGTCCCTTTTAGGTTGTAAATTTTTTTTTTTTTTTATAATAATATGCACGATATGACGATTTAATGGTCATAGGTGGTTTTTAATCTTGCCACATACGTAACGTTAGTCTGTATAAAGAGAGAGAGACAGAGAGAGAGAGAGAAGACAATAAAAAAAAAAAAAAATTTTTTTTTTTTGTAAATCTAAATATTTAAAATATTGCATTCTAGTGAATGTGTGTGTGTGTATGTGTGTGATATTATTAAGAATTATAATAATATACGTCCGGCCATTGTTTCCTTTTTGTTTTATTAACAAAAATGTCAACTTTTATAGGGGCTTTTATCCCATTTTTACTCTCTCTCTCTCTCTCTCACTCTTCCTACATCTCCGTTTTGCTAACCCCGGCGTGCGTGCGTTACGTTATTTTTCCCGACCCTTTTTTTTTTCCAACAGTTTATGGTTTTATGAATACGATTAATCAACTTTCGTCTTTTGTTCTAAACTCTTCATTAAGAAATTATTGTCTTTATGTTGTTGTCTTACTCCCTCGAAAAATGAAAAAATTATTATTATTATTATTATTATTATTATTATTATTATTATTATTATTATTATTATTATTGCTTTAGTGACTCGGACGAACGAACGAACGTTAATAGTCTGTCGGGTAATAAATTTACACGAAACAATTTATATTTCCATAATTAAATAAATAAAAAATTAAAAAATACTCGCACAAAATGTTTGAAATTCAGGTTAATCGAACAATCAATCAATCAGTCAATCAATCTAGTAATAAATAAATATAAATCGTTTGTAAAGTTTCGAGAATGATCGTCGCTAACAATTTTCTAAATAAGAAATAATATTATTAATAATAATAAAATTCAATCGGAAAAGGAAACCTTTCTCTCTCTCACTCTTTCTCTCTTCTTTCTGTGTCTACTTAAGAATAAATTTTGCGGTGTTAAAACCTTAAAAACCTTTTTTAGTTCGTGACGAAAAAAAAAAAAAGCTTTTTTTCAAAGAGAGTGAGAGAGAGAGAGAGAGAGAGAGAGAGAGAGAGAGAGAGAGAAAGAGAGAGAAAGGAGGGCGTTAATGTTAACGCGCTTATATTTTCGACCGTGGTTCAAATAAAATTGACCACATTTGTGTCAAAAAGGTTTTAAATTGTCGACCTTTGAACTGAGGTTAATTACTCGAAAGCAGACGACAGCGGTAGTTGTAAATTCGTTCAATTTTATAAACGATTGATTAATTGTCGTTTTATTTTGATCGAACGCGATACAAATTCATAGGGCGAATGTGTTGTTGTTGTTTTTTTTTTTTTTATTGTTTCGGTTCGATTCCCGATCAAGTGTTGAATTAAATATTATTATTATTATTCAATCGTTAAATTTAATTTAATAATTAGATAATTTTTGATTTATTAATATCCGGTCGAGATCCCCTCCCCCGTCTGTCTCTCTCTCTCTTTCCGACTTCATTAATTTTTACGTATAAAAAAAAAATAAAATTTGATAATAAAATGAATGTGTTATATTAAAAAACGATTAACACGTTAATAACGAATTTATTCAGTTCGCGAATCGATTTCGATAAATCGTAAAAAAAAAAAAGGGGGGGGGAATAATAAAATTTAAAACGGAAATGATTATTTTAAGTGTTAAAAATAAAGAGGATGAAAAAATTTAAAGGAAATTTGTGGAAAAGGGAAATTCGGTTAGGTATTATCGGCATCGGTTCGAATATCCCGGTTTTTATTTCAAGGGGGTGGTGGTTTTCGATTGTTTTGTTTTTTGTTTTTTTTTTTTAATTTCACACATTCTTCATTCATTCATTCATTCATTCACCCGTATCCGGAATTTATTCACCTTCGAACGGAAATACAAATCAAACTGGATTAACTCAATAGATTATATTAAGTGATTAGAGAAAATAGAGACTTATTGCAAAGAAAAACCAATTCCATTTAAACACTCATTAATTCTCAATGTTTCCATCGAGTTAATTGCCTTTGTTTTACAATTATTCAATCAGAAAAGGTTTTATTTTAAAATAACATTCATTAAAAGGGTTTTTAATAGAAAATATACCAATTCTTTCTATTTCCTTAGCACTCACACACCCATACACACACACACACTCCCCCTCTCTATCTCTCTGCCTCTTTTCATTTCTTTCTTCTATTCCTATTCCTCTCTCTTTTCCCTACCACTTCTTTCTTTCATTCCTCTCTCTATTCATCATCGACTTCCCTTTTAACTCCCTCCTTCCCTCCTCCCTTTTTTGTTTTTTATTTAAAGAAATTACTTTTTAAAGAATTTGATAGAAATTTTCTTTTGTTTCCGACTCTGATTAACCGCAATTTTTTTTTTTGCATCATTTTTTTTTTGTGAACTTTTGACTTTTGTCATAATCATCATCATCATCATCATCATCGTTTTTAAAATTTCATATATATATATATATTTTTAATTATGTTAATTATTATCATTATTATCTACATATAATTTATTTATTATTTATCTATTTGCATATCTTTTATTTAATAATGTCGTATGTGTGTGTGATTGCAGGGTATAATTTTAAAATGTCAGATGTTTGAAATGTTAAAAATTTACCAGGTTAATTTTTTTTTTATTGTTGTTATTATTATCATCATCATCATCATCATAATCATCATTATCGTGATTCCAAGGACTCCAGGTTTATTTTCCAGGTTGATTCGAATATTAAGAAAGAAATAATAATTAAGGTACAATTAATAATTAAATTTTTTTTTATTTTTATTATTATTATGGCACAAAGAAAAAATTTGATGTGAGAAGGGGGGAGGGGAGGAAAGGGGGAGGAGGATAAGCGGTCGGTAAATATATACTCGAGGACAATTTTTCAAATGTCAACCGGAAGTAGGTTTTGTGTGCAAGAGTCAAATGAGTGACTTTTTGACAAATTGTTTTTTATCATATAATTTTCTTTACTTTTGGCTACTTTTTTTTTAAGTATTCACGTGAATTTTATTTTTTTTAAATTTCTCTTTTTTGGGGAGGATGGGGGGGAAAGGAGGATGTAATTTCTCATTGGTAATGAGTCAAGTGACACTTTAAGTTGTTTTCTTTTTTTCTAAAAAAAAATTATTTTCTCAACCGTTTTGATATGTTTTTTTGTTTATTTGTTTCCTTTTTAATTTTAATGCCCCCCGCAAAAAAAAAAGAAAATTTTTTTTTTTTTAACCGTAATTTAATTTTTCCTACCGCCGCAAATTTATCATAAAAAAAAATGAAACGAAAGTTATT